TGGGGCTTCACAGGACAAGGAAGCAGAACATGCTGCAGCTCGCAGGCAGCAGACAGCGAGCACAACTCAGACAACTTCCACTGTCTCTCCATGTCACATGTTTGGTGACATTTCCTATCCAAGCTCCCACAACACAAGCGTGTGAGCACCACCAGCTCCTTCCCCACACAGAACCCTCATTCTTCCAGCCTGTCTGGGCTCATAAAAACAGTTTTCTTTTCTCAGTCTTAATCCTGACTTCCAGGGAAACAGAATGTTTTTTACATCTCTCTATTTAATTTCAAATCAGTACTTCACTGCAGCTCATGACAGGTCACATTCACATTTCACTCCTCTGCCATCTGCTTTGAAATTTCCAGTATCAAAGGAGTCCATACCTTTGTGATTGTAATTTTGCAGTCTTATTTTACAACTGAAGTGTAATTTAAACAAAACACATGAAATCCAGAGTAAGATCGAAAGTCTTGTAGCTCTGTCTTCAATTTCCACTATTAAAACCCAATATAGCAATTTTTTGGACCAAACAGATCCTTTAAAAGAGCACTCCAATTCCTGAATAACCATTTTCATACTCTTGAAAGAGATCCTATTCTAAGCTTGAGCATCCCATCTTCTCAGAGCTCCAGGGTAACAGTCCTGCAGGTTATGAAACGTAGTCACAGCACTAAGGAACATTCTCCTGCAATATTCCTATCATCCAACACTAGCAGGGTCAGAGAGCACAACACTTTATAAACCACTGAGACACTGGGTAATGAATATTAAAGCCTGGTTCACACCACGATTCATTTCCACTGCCCTCCTGGCCTTTATGGGGAAACACCACTGTTGACCATGTTTATTGATCTTCTGTTATCCATTGTCCATCAGTCCTCTTCCCTTTTAGAACCCCAACTGCACTGGGTATTGATTTGGACTTTGCATAGCAGAGTAACACACCTTACTGTCAGGAGAGGAGAGAGTTAAAACAAATAGGAAAGACGAGAAACAGAGAAGCAGGAGTTTTGAGGAGCAGAAAGGCAAGATCAGAGAATAAACCCTGCTTTATCATTATAGTCTCATGTCTCTCCAAAGACATTAAGAAGTGGCTTCAACAGAGACAAGAGTACCCAGAGAATAAATAATAACACCCTGGAACGTCTTTTCTCCCACAGGGTGAAACAAGAAGAAAAAACACCAGAAAAACTTACAGGGATTACTGCACACTGCAGACACCTCAGTCACTCTGACCTACTCTACCATCAAAACCTGCTCCTCTGCTTCATTTCTCTCACCACGTCCAACAGAAGCAAGACTGGCCGTGGCTAACACAGGAAGCCTTCCAGCAATGCCTCTCAGATACTTCAATTGAGCAGTTTCAACTTAAGACACATGGTTTCTATTTTTCAGACATAATGGTCATCAAGGAGTCCTTTAAAGGAAATTATGAAAGAAGCAGATTCTGCATTACTGAACTGGTCTGACTGGGAGTCTTGTACTACACTGGTTGCATTGCTAGTGACCAAGGAGAGGAGATTTTGTTCTGCACAGACTCAAACTCATGAAACCAAGTTAGCACAAGGCAGCCTACAGTGCAAAACTCCAGTAAGGACTTGTGTGAAAGAACATAAAAATTACCTTAAAAGACTTAAAATTCCATTTGTCAAGTACGTAAATACTTTATGACATGTGATACACGCAAAGCTTGGCCCAAATCCAAGCAAATCCACTCACTTATAGCTCTTTTGAAGAGGATGCTACTTCAGTGCTATCTCTGCAGGAGGTCAAACCTCACCCCTCACAATGCCCTGAGAGAGCAGGGGCTGAGGCTGCTGGGTGAGGATAAACCCTCCCAGCCAATGCACAACCTTCAGGTCTTGTTGTCTTAAGCTGGAAATGGGATGTTGATCAATTATTATTAATTTTCTGCCTTCGAACTTCTGTGCTTGCCATGTTAACAGAAGCTTTATAGAAGCTAACTTCCAAGAAGAGATAATTCACAATTCTGTCAAGAACAGCCGATCATGTATTTTTTATGACACAATAATTGGGATTTTTGTCCAGCAAAGATGATTAATTCAACCACTTGCAGTACAATAACCCCCCAAACCAAATAATTTACTTTGTGAATCTGAACCATTTAGCACAATCGTCTACAATAAGGAGTGGTACACATTTTTTTGCATCAACAGTTCTGACAGGATATTGTTCTCTCAATGTTCTACCCTCGTCCACCTTGAAAGCACAACACATTCTTTCAAGTGTCCACTTTGCGTTACTTAAAAATGTTCATGCCCTTTATCAGGCACATGTAGCACCCTTGTGGACTTCCAGAGTTGGTTTCTACTCTGAATACATCTCTTCTAATACAAAGTACACACTCATGACAGCTCACAGTATTAACTCCTATCTTTTTTTCTCTCCAGTCTCTAAGCCTGCATTATGCTCTCATTTTCCAGCATACATTGTCATCTGATTGTTTCATTTAGGGCAGTAAGGGTTTCTAGAACATGAGGCATTTATTAATGGATAAATGTTTTAGAGCATACTGAATTAGCATTATTACTGCAGACATCTGATACCACAATTTCTAGCTTACCAAAGAAAAATAATAAAAATCCAGAGATTTGAGGGACTTTTCCAAGCTCCAAAACTGTATTTAAGACCAGAATTTACTTATCCTCTCCTCCATTCTTTTGGAACCCACAGTTTATCCTAATGAACAGCCTTCATTTTTCCTCAGCTCCTGGGCAGGTGTCAGTTACACTCTGCACGCCCAGCACCACAATTTATTCATCTCACGGGCAGAAACTGGCTAAAGCTCAGTCCTGGAGAGCAGGACAGAGGAACATGTCCTTACCTATGCCCAGTGCCATGCCTGTGACTGGTCACCTTCACCCACACAGTGTAACTCTGGTGGCCTTTCAGACGTGCTACAAGAGAAACCTTCTGATTTCATCACAGGGAATTGGTTGAGTTGGCACAGAAGGCAGGGGTAGAGCAACACAGACCCCAAACTGATCAACTAAAAAGCTGTTGGAATGCAACACTGCATCCTCAGTCCTCCAGCTCCATGATTTTAAATGTATTTCAGTTATATCAGCCCTTTATTTGCTAAGTGAGTTTCATTATCTCCCATTACTTTGTTTACACACCTACCACAACAGAGAAATTACTGCATTACCCATTATGTCCAGCCTTCCTGCTCCACATTCTTTACTTTGGAAAATATTTGGTTTAGAAGTTCTTTAGTTAGAAACAACTAAGCATTTAGTATTAAAAGCTGGAAGTCTTAAGAGCTGTTATCACACAAAAAGAAGTATGCAGTTATTACACACTATTGGGCCATGTCCTTCTTCAAGTTTTAACTTTTGATTTTATTCAATGATTTTTTTTTTTCCTGAAACAGGTCATTTTAGTAAGTTCTTTGCATGGACCAGAAGTGTCGTTGACAACAGAAGTGTTCAGCTTGCCAGTACAACTCCCAGGCAATATCATACCCAGCGAACTCCAGTGTAAGACATCTCTGAGCACAGAATCAATTTCTTGGTCTTTTACTCAAGGGAGAAAGCACCCTGCACTGCTTTAGAAACAACACCTCAAGCCTCAGCACCCACTTAGAGCATAATTAATATGCCATCCATAACACAGCACGTTGCTGGATCAGCTCTGAAGTCGGACAGAACAGTAACTTCTCATAAATCATAAAACAGCATCATGTCAGAGTCTTTAAGGGTCAATTTTAACACCCCAAATCACTAGTTTACCATTTAAGCCTTAAGATAAAGTCCTTTTACCTCTCATTTAGCACATTTTCAGCTCCAAGAAAATCAAAACAGAGTACTCACACTGCCTAAATTTTATTCAATTTAGGAATATTAAGTTCTTTTAGCACTAAACAACCAACATCTTCTTGTGAAAATATACACCCCTGAAATTGTGATCATGCCTTATTTTTCCTGAGTTACACGGGCAATATCAACTTGAAAGAGGAGTATGACAAAGCATCTTAACAGAAGATAATCTTACAGCACTGAAGACTTATGCTAGTTTATCTTATGTTAATAATAATTAAGCGGCATACAAAAGTTTAAATTAACCTCCGCTGTGTACTTAATTTCCCAAAATTATGGTCAGGAGTTCCTCAAGACAGTTGCTGACAGATAGGAATCACCATGAAGTTCAGCAGAAACATTTAGAAGGAACTTTAGCACACGCTGAAGAGACACAGGACACGTTTTAGCCCCTGAACTGCAATGAAGATAACACAGATGACACTTAAAACTAAGAGAAGCAGAAAGCAAGGAGCTGACAGCTAGGGCAAGAGAGAGGAAACAATTTTAGTAGACAGGAAACCTCTCGCTTTTAGTGGTAAAAGCCAACTGAAAAATTCTCCCCCGGTTTCAGCAGGAGCGACCGCTGCCGCCTCCCCTGTCGCTTGTTTTTAAGGTGTCGCTCGTACTCCGGCAGCTCCTGCCCAGCGGCACCTCTGGCTCGGCAAACGCCGAGGACGAGCGGCTGCATCCCGCCCAGCCCCGCACCAGCCCGGCCCGGCCCCGCTCCCCCCCGGCCGCCATCCGCCCTGCCCGGCCCCGGGAGCCGCCCGCGGCCCGGCGCGCCCGCCGCCTCGGCCCCTGCGCTCCTCCCTGCCCGCAGCCCGCGGGGACCGCCGGGCGCTGCCGGCGCGGGGCCGCCGGCCGCCCTCAGGCACTGCCCGGCCCCCTCACCTCAGCCCTCAGGCACTGCCCGGCCCTCTCACCTCAGCCCTCAGGCACTGCCCGGCCCTCTCACCTCAGCCGCGGCTGTCGGCGCTGCCCCAGCCCCTCACCTCAGCCCCGGCTCATGGCACTGGCCGCTCCTGCCCGCGCCGGGCGGCGGCAGCGGCGGGGAGGCGGCGGCGCCGCCAATCCGGGCCCCGCGGGGGTCGGGCCTGCCCGAGCCGCCGCAGCGTCGGCCCGAGGGGCGGGACGGGACGGGGCGGGACGGGGCGGGACGGAGCGGGGGCGGGAGAGGGACGGGGATGGGCACAGGGAGTGGGACGGGGGGAGCCCTGGCAGCAGGAGCGGCCCTGTCCGTCCCTCGGGCGCGGCCGGTGTTCCAGCGGCCGGTGGTGATGACGCCCGGAACGGCCCCAGCGCGAGGAGCCCCGCGGCTCCAGCCGCTGCCGGGCGTGCCGAGCCGCCCGCGCCCGGGTAATCCGCCGGGCCCAGAACGCGGCGCTCGCCGCGCGTTCGTGTCACGGGCTCCGCGCGGCGTTCGCCGCTGACATCGCTGAGGGAGCGGCTGCGGCAGGAAGCGTGTGCGCGACCAGGCACCGGGAAGCTGGTTGGTATCTCAGCATTGCAGAAATACCCAAAATTATCGGCTCCCTCACCGAGCAGGCACTTATCCCAGGAAACATGCCCTGGCAGAGGTCATTTTATTTACCCTTCATATTTCCCAATTTGCAGCAGACAGAGAAAAAAAAATTAATTCTTTGTGTCAAAAGGTTGTTTTCTCAATAATGGTCTTATGCAATAAATTACAGCCTTTCTACTGCTTTTACCCTTTACTTAATTGCTCCTGCTTCTGAAGGCAGTTAATGATGACATTACAGCATTACACTGGATCAGACTGATGCTGGCCCAGGTTTCTTTAGTCAACCCTTGGGTTAATTTGGCTGTGCCAGATATCTTCTCTTTAATATTTTCAGTTCGAATTAAAACATAAAGAATCCTGCAAGATCTTTCAGACTCTTTATTTCATACCAGCCTTTAAATTTCTGGTACTTTATGAGGTGATGGGACAAAGTTTATTTACTAACCAACATTTAGTGGGATATGTGAGCAGAATTCAAATTATTCCAAATTAGCCATTGCAAAGAGTTAAATATAAATTATTAATTTTCAAACAGTTTCCTATGTTACCTGCAGCTGTAGCTGTGCTGAGGTCCGGGGTGCTCTTGCACCAGGCATTATACATATGGTACGTAGTACGGGTTGCAGTTTAGGTGAGAAGTAGGTGCAGGTAGCACTCAGACTGCTTCTCTCATTAAATTGCACTTCAGTGCTTGTGGAAGTGACTTATTCACAGGCATCTCTGAGTTCTGTTTTAAAAAGCAGGATTCCTGCATGTAATAGAAAACCAGAGTTACTGAGAGCAGCCAGCACCTGACAAAATCTGCTTCAGTGAGGAATGGCCTGAGTTCACCAAATGGATGGTCAGAGCCTTCAAGCTGTTGGATGTCCAAGCACTAAACTCAGCAGTCTTAAGGCTCACAGCTGAAGGAACTGAAGGAACTGGGCAAAAGACTGCACTATTTGAGTGTCACTGCAGAACCTCAATTTAGTCTTGATTTTTCTTGTGAAAAAGACAACATTCTGTTTGAAATACAGATACACATATTCATCTCAGACATGTGTCTGTTCATGGCTGCTCTTGTATCTAGGAAGACCTTTGAATCCTTATACAAAGCTGATGTTAATGTTTCCAGAGTCTGAAGATAAGATAATAGTTGTTTCCTTAACAACAGGTTTTCCCTGCAGGAGCAGAGCCTACAGCTGAAGCTGTAGCTGATGGATTGGTTTTGGCTGTATTAAAACACAAGCAACTCACTGGAATCTCTGAAGCTTTTTCTGCCCTCACTTTGCATGTAACTTAGGCAACATGTGGACTAAAACTCCTGACCTCAAGATAAATATTTGTGCACCTGGAGTTTGGTCCTCAGAACAGGCTTCTTCCATAGCATGGTATGTGCTGAGGAAAGGCTGGAGGCAGGCTCTGGGAAAAACTGGGCACCACACTCTGGGCTTCGTGGGAATCCTCTTCTAAAAGCAAGTCCCAGTCAGGTGGAAGTGGGGCAAAAGGAAAAAATCTCGGAATATTTGAATCACTCAGTGCTGTGAGAGTAAATCCTTTTCTTGGATTATTTACCTTCCACCTATCCTACAAAAAGAAAGAGAATAAAGTAGTGCTTATTTATTTTTACTACTTCCCTATCCCTATAGGTGTACAGTCATTCTGAGAAGCAGCAGCCTGCAGGCTCTAGAAACAGGTATCTACAGTCAGGAGCTGCTTTTGAAAAGAATTACTTTAATCTTTTGGAATATGTGAGGGAGACATTTAAATACCTTTAAAAGCAGTGCTTGAGCAGGCTGTAAAATAATAGGTAATATTTCTCCCCCAGAGCTACTGTGAAGCTCAGTTCATTTCGCTATAATGCCCCCCTCAGAATTTCACAGCTCAGGGCAGTTTAAAGCCTCTACTTTTGTGAGAAAAGAACATTACATGAGCTTTGGGATTCTACATAGTTTTCACAAATCCTGGGGAAGACCTGAGAGCTGCAGGACAGCCCTGCTTGCAATTTTATGCTGAGAAGCTTTAAGAGGAATGAGGCAGCAGCTGAGCCTGAACGTGTGAATCTTGGCAAACACAGGGTTGTCTGTGTGAGAGCAGCTTTACTGTTGGTTTGTTTGGTTGTTACCAGTGCAACATTAAACACAACAGAAAGAAGCTTAGCATGGAAAAATCGCAAACAAAGCCCACCCAGTGTGTACAGAGCCCAACAAGGACTGGCAATGCTGGGGCTTCTCAGTGCTTCAGCTGGCTCTGATTGTGGTATGGAGGGGAGTATGAGTTCCTGAAAGCCACATTCCTTCCACAGCTCTTGTGGGCCCATCTTCTGCTTGTCAAACACCCCAGTGAGAGTGTTCTCAGCACCTCTCAAATTCTTTCTCTGCCAGTGGCTTCACTGCTGTCTTTGGATATGAATTGTCTAACTTGGAAACTGCCCATCCTGTCCTCCACCCCATCACTTCTCCTGACACTGATCCCAGCCCCTGGGCCTGGCTCCTTGCTGGCACAAAGGGGCACAGCCCCAGGGAGCCTCCCCAGTCAGCTCCCCAAGCCTGGCTCCAAATCTGCTTCTCAGTTTCTAAAATCCCCCTGGGAACTGCAGAAGTTCTGAGCTCTTGTTGCTTCCTGTGCTAAAGCACATTATTCTGGGGTTTGGGGATTTTTATTGCTGCATCATTTTTAAAGCTCAGCTGAGGATAGATCACAGAATCATTAAGGTAGGAAAAGACCAGAGCATTCATAACTCCTCAATTACAAAAGCAGGCAGGTCTCAAATCCATCTGTAAAACAAAATATCCCAAAGAATGTTGAAGAGAAACAACATTTTAAAATTACAGGAATTTAGTTCTCATTTGCCTTTGTGATCTTCCTATTTATTTATTTATTTATTTATTTATTTATTTATTTATCTATTGCTTCTAGACTCCCAAGTATCTGTGGAGAACCAGCTATATGCAGCTGCTCAAGTCCTTGCACTCAGAGAAGCCACATTGCCAGAGCCAGAGGAGGTTCCAGCTTGCAGCCGTGTCCAGCAGAGCCTCTGGTGGCTGCCAGGAGCTCAGGTGGATTCACAGGAGAGGCTAAAGCAAGGCCAGATGGTGCAGGGCAGAGCTGTCAAGGTTTGCTGCTGCTGCCGAGGTGACACCCAGAGGCAGAGCTGGTCCCAGGGAAGGTGTTTTGCAGGGCAGCCTGGGTCAGACAGTTTCAGTGCTGGGAATTTGCACTGGCTTCTCTCAGACCTGCAAAACGTTCTGGATGGTTCTCACATGGGTTTGTCTCTCCCTGACCCTGAATCCAGACTGGGGAGTTGGCCAGGGCACACCTGCAGCGATGACACCCATCACTGGTGTCCCTGGGCCACCCAGAATAGCCACGTGCCTGCTGCCAAAGTCACAGCAAGGTTGTATGAGCTGGTATCTGTATTTCAGTGTACCTGGCAAATGTACAAAACTCTAAAAGCCTGCAATCTGATCTGCACATGGTGGAGAAGTCAATACTCCTCCCTCCAGCGAGACCTTGGTGAGATAGGATATTGTGGCTGAGTGCTGGAGCACTCCAGAGTGCAACTGTGGCAAAATCCAAAGCTGGGGGAAGGCTGGGGGATACAGTGGCACTAAGGCTGCAGTTTGTCTGTGCAGGGATTGCACCACAAGGCCTTGACAATAATGTCAGATGCTACAGAAAATTTTCTGTTAATCAGGGCAAGCAAAGCACGAAATAAACACTGTGTTCTGACCTTTCAACTGTCAAATCATTCACCTATTTTAAATCTACAAGTAAATTTAGTTCTGACATTACAGAACAGCTGAAGATACATGTTTAAATCAGCCACATACACTGCAAGTTTTCCACATGCACAGGAGCATTAACACCAGGCAACAGCACCTTCCTGCTCCTGCCTGGACAGATGCTGTGGTTCTACACTGATGCGCCTAATTTAAATGGTTAGAGCATTGGCTATAGACTAGAAATGAACAGCAGCTTTTAGATACACAAGTCCAAACCAACTGTCAGGAGGTCTATAACGTTTTTTTGGGGGCAGAAGAACATGTGGCCGGGCTGTCTTTGGTGATTTTATTGCCCCTTGTCTTCACAGGGAAAGTCAGAAAAATTAATCTGAATTAATAATACCTGTGACTTGAAAGTCACAAGAGTTAGTTTTGTTATTCAGAGTTAAAGTGGCCTTCATTTGATTTAGCTTTCTTCATTTTCCAAGTAAAGTACACTAAATCAGATTAATGCCACTTAATTCTGAATATGAATATCTGCATAGGTCTTAATAGAATTTAACTAATCTACTTTAAAATATAATTCAGCTGAGGTTCTCTGAGTGTCCCCTTCAAGGAAAGACTCACATCAATAGACTTAATGGGAATTGTTCCTCGATTGTGCTGGCATGAGATCAAAACATCACTCTCATAAAAACAGCCATATCTTGCTTAGATGTCTTTGTTCTGAGAGCATTAACACCTGACCCAGAGCTGAATGTATACCTGCTGAAACAGAATCAGAAATGGCAGCATGGGGTGAACTCTTAGTTACAAAAGAGGGATAAAACACTGACTTTGGTTTTTCCAGCTGAGATGGAGAAAAGGCATAGGTAGTCAGGGTCATTTCCATGTTCTGAAGGTGTAAACAATATACACTGTTTTCATAAGGCTGATATAATTTAGGCTGTTGTGCTATTCTAGACAGTGTCATTTCAGACCTGAAAGTTGCTAGAACCTTTATTTACATGAACTTCACAGAGGTGTGAGGAACTGCTGTCTCTGTGACAGTAACTTGTAACCTTCCACTGAGCAGTAGCATCCTCGTGGCCCATACTCGCACATCTTTTTCCAGCTGAGCTTTGCTGGGGAGGCTGGGCTTAAACAATGAGAACATGAAGGTGCAGTCACACCCTGGAACAAACAAGAGCCCAGCTTTGAAAGCAAACACAGGATTGATGTTTTCCCAGGTTAAAGAACTGGCTCTGACCAAGCACTCAGAGCACTGCCTGTGCAGTCACACAAAATTACCATAGCCAAGATTCAATCCTTCTCTGCTCCCCCTACAGCCAACCACCAGTGGCAGCTCTAGCCTGGCCCATTTCTCCAACAGATTCTGACTCAGCTTCCAAAGCCAGAAGTTCTCAGTGCCTCCACAACTGGATTCTTGTTCTGGGCTTCACATTCTCCTTTAGCATTTTAGGGGGAAGATCTCAGCACAGAGATTTATCAAATAACATCTCACTGTGCTAATCATTCAGGTGGCTAAATAAGGAACCTATGCTCCTTAGGATATCTGTTATAGGCAATGAAAAGGGACAGGTTCCAAACAGGACTCTCAGTGGCAAGACTGGAGAGCAGAGCTGCCTCTTAGCTCAGACATGCCAGGTAGGTGACTCGTGAGGCACTGAGAATATTCTGCTCACCTTCCCTGTGTAATTTTCATGACTTGATGCATAACCCAGTCTCCAAACCTGCCCAGGCGCCCTGAACCTTCTGTCCAGCTCCTGCAGCCATCCCCTATTGCCACTTCCTGCAAGCAGCATCACACTAAGCAGGGCAGCATCTGGCTCCACGTGACCTTGGGGTTTTCTCAGAGTGCCATTAAATCTTTCAATTAAATATTGCTCAGTATTCTATCCAGCAATAATTCTTGAGTCATAATTTCAAGTGCTGATGGATAATGTATATGTTTTCCACAAGAATCCAATGAGATATACTAAGGAATCTGATATGTACATGCAGAGTCTGCACTGGAATAAAAAGTAAACTAAACATGTCTAAGCTTTTAGAACATCAAATCCAGATTCCAGACAATATTAAAACCCTCCAGGTTTGACTGGGACTCACCAGTCTGTGTTACCTTCCACTGCATTTAGACAGAGAATTAATCTTGGTATTCAAAGCCTTCCAAAAGCTCCATGTTTCAAAAATAGCAAAATTTATTTCTCTTGAAGTATAGGCTTGTTACAGCTATTTAGGAACATCTTAGTGAAGTCAGATGGATCTTGAACCTCCCCTGGGGATGGTTTAGATGTCAGTGTTCATCCATTAACAGATTGGAAACTATCCAGGGCAATATTGCAAGAAAACACGCCATGTCCAGGCTTTCTTCCTGTTTCTTCCTCTGTTAAACAAGACTCTCTGAGCAGTTCTCTACAAATAAATCCAAGGTTAAATATGATAAATAGGGCAGGGAATGCAGAGAAATTAAAATTGCTATTAGCAATGCATCCTGCTGGTTGGTCAAAGGGATATTCCTCTCTATTGGTAGGGGAGTATGGAGTAAAAACACTTGGACAGTGAGAACCTCATTTTGCCCGAGTTCCATCACTTATTCCTGCTCCTTGTCACTGACAATAAGTGTGCAAAGGATTTACTCTTCCTCAGCACAATGCCACATGCTGCCTGTGTAACCCCAATGACACAGAGTCAGGAAAAAGCTTACGAGGCCCAAACAGGTTTAATGCTGCCTTTCACTGGATATTGTTTTGCATAAGAAACAACCAAGTTCTCATAAACAAGCAGGCAGCTAAAAGAGGAACAGCCATCCTTAGAAGGCAAAAGGCAAAATATGGAGGAGAAGTTGGTGCATTCAAGGTTTCTACCAGATGGAAAACATAGGCTTGGAAGATGCAGGCAGGAGGGCAGTGCTTGGGGTGACAGGGGAGCCCCCAGCTCCTACAGGAGCAGCCTTGTCTCCAAACCAGGCAGAACCAGATGAACCCTACAAGAACGACCTTGAGAATAAAAAAAGTGCTTCTGGATAAGTGCTGGCTAAAATGATTGAAATAGCATGCAGAGAAAGAGAATTCCTGATTCCTCTGATTTTAGAGGAAGCAGAGTTTTAGACTTTCTCTGTAAATAAAAGGCCTAAGTGATCAATTTTCCCTGCTATTAGAAACAATCTACTGGGCATAAAACCTTTTAAGTGCTTTGGTCAAAGAGAGGACTTAAAAGCTCCATTCATTTCCTCATGGAAAGGCAGGAACTTCGTCCCTTTGACTGCAAGTGCACAGATCTTGAAAAGCCAAGGATGCATGTGCTGGGGACATGATGATGCTGACACTCCTCTGTCCTCAGCCTTATCTTTCACTGACATAAGTATAAAGCAGGTGTAAAGCAGCTTTATGATTTGGGCTTTGTGAGGAGCACCAAGTGATTTTGGACCAGTGAAATGACTCTAGAAGACACAGCAATGGGGAGCACACAGCCCTCTCCATGTTTGTATGCAACAAAGAAAACACAGATATGACCTTTGTCAGCAGTCAGTGCTCTCATTAGTGTGTCAGAGATAATGACTCTTACTCATGAAAATCTGACCTACATACGCTATAAAAGAAGAAAAGGCAACAATTTACTTAAGTCTCTATTATACTGTTAATGATTATAAGCTGAAAAACTAGACCATAATGCAGGAAACTTGTAATTAAAAAGCATCAATTATCATTTTCTCCTTGCAGGGGACATTAGTCAGGTTTGCTTTCCACAGTCCCCTTGGGAATACAGATAGACATGTAGGGCTGTGTGATTCACTCTGGAAAAGTCAGAAAGGAAGCAACTCAGTGGGAAAAGATTAGCTTCAAGAAAAAAAAAAAAAAAGAAAGGAAAAGGAAATGATAGTTAAAGACATCCCTTTCAGTGTTTCTTGTTTGACAAAGCACAGGTATGTGTCAGGTTGTTTCTAACAGACCAGCCCTTGCCTCCCTCCAGCCAAGACTAAACTGGATTTCTGCAGTGTACACGATGTTCTGAGGCTCCAGGCTGAACCAGCTGATACCTTCAGTCATGCTGAACATACCATCCTTCTGCAGAGATCAACTGGTCCCTGGGAAGAATGTGAATCTCTCTTCAGAGGGCTGAAAATTCCCCCTCTGCTGCCTGAAGGTCCCTGACTCTCAGCCAGGGTGAACAAACCATCTGGAGGCTGTTTCAGACACAGCATTCTCAGGTAGAATCAGTTTTTCAACAGTGCCAATGTGTGCTGTAAGCCCATCTAGAGTGGTTCTGGCAGCCCTGAGGAAGTGCCAGAAAATGTGATCCATCACTTTGTGTGCAAGAGCTGCATTCACCCTTGGCTTTCTGTGCTTCCAGCTTTGTCATGGATCACACTGCAGAATCACAGCTCACCTCCAGCCACCCCTGAGCTTTTGCCTCCTAACAGCTGCTGCAGCTCTCAGCATTCCTAATAAGAATGCTCTTCAAAACTCCTGTTCCTTTAATCAGCATGCAACAAAAATATTAGAAAAACTCAAACAGTAATAAAATAAAACCTAAGCTTTGCATTATGGGAGACTGTGAGATTTTCATCATGCTTTAAATAACTTAAATTTTTCAAAAGCAATCTATATTTCCTATCGACAATCTGATGTTAATTTAATAACCTGTGTGGCTGTAATTTTCATTAATTGACTTACACTCTGACCACATCTAAATAGACTTGAAAATTTTTTCTCCTATTACACTCTCACAGCCAAGGAGGGATGCCAAGTTCACCCTTCCAGTAATACCAGGATTCAGCCCACTTAAGACAAAGCTCCCATCTTTGTCCCATCTTTGTCAACTTCTCTGTCCCCTCTGCTCCTGGGACAGACCAGCAGCCCTCCTTATCATTACCTTGGAAGACTTCTCTCCACACATGGCAGAGAGTTTCCTAAGCTGGTTGGAGCTTGAGCCACTCCAGAAGGTCCCACTGTGAGAAAGGCTGGGAGGCTGGTGGGAGCCCCAGGGAACTCAGGAGTTTGGCTCAGGTT